GGCGGGGCGAGAGGCGGGGCGCACCCGTGAGGCGACAAGTGCACGGAACGCCCTGCGTCCTGCCCTGAGCGCGGCCGGGTGCCCGGGGCGGCCCGGGTGGGGCCCCTGCTTCCTCCTTGGCCCGGCTGCCGCGCGCTGCTCCGGGCGGACGGTCCCCGTTTGCAGCACCGTTGGTACTCGGTATCCGACGCCCGGCCCCGCCCCCACCGGGGCCCTAGCGGTAGCCAGCCGAGCGTCGTGGTCCGGTCCGTGCGCTTCTTTTTGCCCCCCGGACACGACTGGAGGCGACAGTTGGCGTCTTGTCTGTCTAATGGTGACGGCGGGGCCAGGCAGGGCCAGAGGCCCGAAATGAAATTAACAGTTTCTTTTTATAAAAAAGAAATAGAATAAGAGGAAAAGGGAAGAAGACTTCCCTATTTTAATGTTATTTGTTCTTTTACTTTGATTTCTCTGAAGTATCAAAATAATAATTACTGTCCAGTAATTGTCGGATGGAGCTTACTGACCGATTCAACTCGGTCGAACCCGCTGCTGGTGGACTGTACCCGCGCCTGCGTCGGATGCCTTTTCCTACCCCGCTCCGCTGCTCCCCTGCCTCGCGCCTCGCTCTGCTTAACCATACTCCGGTGACTGATCCGAAAGTCTCGAGTCGCCGTCGCGTTTCCCAACGAACGACGACTGCCTCGCGCCGCCGGCGCTGCCCCCTCTGTCCCTCTGTGTTCTGGTCCATTGGGGGCGGGCCGCTCGGATGCTGCCTCCGGAGCGCACTGGCGGGCCCCGACTATCGCGGGCGCCAACAGCTTTCATTCTGTCGCCGCTGATCCAGATCTGATCCAGATTCTCTGCGGGGTTCGGATGCAGATCTGGACTGCGATTAGCGCTGCCGCTGTCGCCTGCTTTCTCACCTGCCGCAGCCGCGCCGAGTAGACCTGTGGGGCTGGGGAGCTGGACTGGGGGCGTCGTCAATTTTGTCGCCGGCCTTTGTCCGCGGGGGTGTCGGATACATTGTGTGCAACTATTTGTGTTAGTTTATTACGGTGCTGTCACTCTCTCGCTCCTGTTGGACACACAAAACACAACGACTTTTGTTTAATCGTCAATTTGTTTGCTGTTATTCCAGCTGCGCATCCAGTTCAACGACGAGGCCACCACCATGTTCGAGTACCCCTCGGAGGCCTCTCTGCTGGAGGACGGGGCCCACGGCGCCGCGCCCCCGCCCCCTCCCAGCGGCCCCGCCCCCGCGCCGCCGTCCTCCGCGCCCGCGCCCGGCCTGCCTGTGCCGCTAGGTGAGTTATCAAGGAGAAAGTGAAAAAAAAAATGAAGGCGCCGCAAATGAAAGGAGAGGGGGGGGGGAGTACCTGGGCTAAACCGGGCTAAACTACTGAATTAGGCCGCGAGATTCGCTGTGACGTTGTCATCCTCTCTCCCGGCAAATGTTTCTCTGCAAATCTAACTGTAGGGCAAGATGTAAGTTTTAAATGCGACGCTGAAGTCTGCCTGTTTAAACTGCGAGACTTTCTTTGTCTCTCGGTTGTAACTGCGTGATTGTTCCTTCTTCTTCTGGTAAGCTTGAACTACAGTTTAAACTGACTGTCTCGCTGTTACAACCGAGAGACTAGAAAATCGAAAGTCTCGCTGGTTAAACTGACAGACTTAAGTCTCGACGTTAAAACTGACAGCTTGTCCTTCTACAGTTAAATTTGCCTAGTCGTTCTTTTATTCAAGTTGAGCACATGGGTACTTTATTCTGTATTAGTAACATTTTTACTAATGTCGTCTGCCACCTCAGTCCCACCCTTTTCTTTCCCTTCCTCTGTCTAGTCTCCAGGACCCCCATGATGTCCCCGAGTGGTCGCGTGGAGAGTTGTGGGTGGCTCTGATCGAGCCTGTCGAGCCCCACCAGGGCGGAGGCTGGAGACCCCAGACCCCATAGCGTGCCGTGGCCAGTCTTGTGCAACCCCTCTCTCCTCTTACTCCCCTCTCCTCTAAATCTCCTCTCTCTGCCCCCTTCTGTCCTCCCTGTGCTGCCCTCTGCTTCTCGTGTCTTTCCCACTTTCTTCATTCCACTTTTCACGGCAGTGTTCTAATAATCTTGTCATACTGATTTTGTTGGTGATTGCGACTGTGATAAGGAATAATAATATCCATTTTGTGAGATGATTGGTTTTGAATATTTAATGAGTTATTTGGCAACTCTTTTTTAAAGTAACCTTAAAGCAAACTTAAAAAAGAGCAATAAAAGTATTTTTTGGTGCATTTCAAAAATATGTGATGGTATATATGTACCAAGAGAACCACCTTTTCTTGTTGCAGGTGGAAGAGGATCATTTTTAGTTTTACATTGGCCTGTAGGAACAGAATCCCTTGTGTAGTAGTTGGAATCATTCCTGTATCATTCATATGCACATAGACTAGACCCAAGATTCCGTACAGGTCACAATTTAGTTTTACTCCATTGAACATATACCCGTCTTTCATTTCCACATGGAGCACTTGGGTTATATTTCCTGAACCCGTCATATCCTGCATGTGGCATGCACTGAACCTCTGCTTTCCTTCCTTGTGTTGTAGGTAGCGGTAGTCTGGCTAGCTACACCCCCAGCAAGTTGCAGATGGGAGTAAGTGAAACATTCCAGCTTGGAGTTACAAGAGCACCATCATCATCGTCACCTAGTTCCTCATCCCCTGACGATGCTGCTAGTGGGGCTTCAACTGCATCAAGTGTTGATACAATAGAAGCAGATCACTCTGACCTAGGAGACAGTGATCATTTGAAACCTGCAAGGGAAGGAGAATCAGTGACATGGAGTGAAGAGTCTGGGACTGACTTGCTTTTCTGAGAATTGCTTGACTTGGTGAACAACATGTAAAATAAGGTTCACCAAGGGGAATATTGACGAGAGGGCAGTGCATTGTTTCTGTGCAACAAAAGCTGTCAACTTTGCCAAGTACTGGACTGAAAATAGTAGAATTTTTCTAATGCCCTCAATGCAATACCTGTAAGGAATGTTCAATTAGATTGTTTGAAGAGACATGTTCATAGTCTTTTATCCAAAGACTTTCCTTATAAATTCTTATACATTAAAATGACGAGTGTTTTCCCACTTAATTTTTTGTTTTGTGAAGTGAACGGTGATGGACTGTTTTGAAATAAACAATGTAATGTGAAATTGCAAATGTATAATGGGTGGCCGACCAGTCCCAATGCAGCAAAAAGGTATTCAAGCCTGCTTCCAGGTGTGCAGGTGGGTTTCATATGCTCATGGAGGCATAAAGCGCCATGGTTAGTGATATGTAAATCCGCCTGCTCGCCTGCATGCAGACTAGTATTGCCCCCGCTGGCCAGCCAACTTGTGCGTAAAGCTATTTTATTGTGTCACTGTAATGTGATGCATATCCATGTAGTATGAGTAATTGTTTAAGAAAGCATGCCGGAAAATTCTGTAGTTTGGTTTCTGATATTAATCTTTCATTAAAATCATTATTAAAGCATTATTTGAATGTAATGTCTGTTTCATAATTTATAATAACAACTTTACATATTGATACATGTATACTGTTAGAGTTTAGAGTATTTATGCTTATACTCTGATAATATATCTGTATGATTATCATTCTCTTTTCTTCATAGGAGGGAATGACTGAACTGTATGAGTCCTACTCAGGAATTTACAGCAAAATACCTAGGATGTTTTGTCCCTCTCAGATTTTGTTTATCTTCATTCCGAATTGCTTTCATAAATGTGTTCTTTTTCTCTTGCTCAACATTCTTGAACAAAGATCTTAACTTTTGAAAATAACTTTACTGATCAGCATAGATTTTGAAATTTAGCTGTCAATTGTTGCAAAAGCAGAGACTTTCCATCACCTTTTAGTTAACATTGGTGATCTTTAGTAGTTTTTTTTCTCTTTTATCTATCAATCATCCCTATGAAATAGTTTAGCCCAATAATAGAAAACTTGAGTCTGAGAAATCTACTGAAATTTGTGCAACGACTTACAAGTAATTTAATGACAAGTCCTTAGCTGCTTGTGCCTCCATAAGTACTAAGCTGCTGCAATAACCCTTCGATCAATATTCTCTTTGTGTAAATATTGAATAAGAAAAAATATTATTAAAACTATTTGATGTAAATTCATGGTGTGTTTGCATGCTTGATTGAAACTTCATCAGCTGATTACTTTTTAGGTGAAGTTCATCACATTTAGTTACATCCATATGTACAGATGTTAAATAAATCAATTTAGTTGTATGAAAGGCTGTTAACTGTATGCTTTAAAAAAAAAAAATACAGATTCCAGTAAAACTTCATAGTGAAAGTACAGTTTTAAGGAATTGCCATAAACAATATTTAAAGTTTCTCTACAGAGTGAGGTAACTATGTTCTCGCTGCCAAAATTATGTTAGTTTATGTGTTAGTCCCTCTTCTGTTTCATGTGTTAAAAGACAAGTTTCAAACAATGTATTGGAGAGTTCTACAATGTGATTGTACTGTTGTTCTGTGGACTCTATTTGAAACTTCGAATTGTGATAGTTAGGGAAAAAGAATTTCCTTTTTTGGATCAAAAGTGAGGATACATATTTTTCATTAAGGATTTCTTCCCTAGCATAGTGTGATTGTATGGCATGATTTATACTATTGTGGGTCCAAGTCTGTACTGATAGCAAATATCATTGTAAGTCAATTTACATTCCAATGCCAATATGGATTATATCCACAGTAAAATTAAAGCTGCCACCCCAAATATCAACTTTCTTAGTATTGTTGATAAAATCGATTTTCAGGTACACAATTAAAAGCATGGCTTTTCTAATATCAAGAATTAAATAGGTAGTCAAACATTTTATTCAAATCAGCATTATGATGGGACATGAAGAATGTTACAAATAAGTATTTATCTTACTCATTAGACACCTTTTATAATTCGGAGCTACTTACTGTAATGTGAATATTCCGTTATCTAGTCATTAGTGGTTATAGTATGACGATTAAAGGCTAGTGTCAATCTGCCACAGACAAAGTTTTATTTTATGCATTTAACAAGTAGAGGTGTTTTCCAAAGAATCACATGCTGTGCCTTTATGTTCTAAATATAACAGTTTTGTAATCTTCACCTTCCTTTCTTCCACATTTCTGTAGATTCTGCTCATTAAAAGAAACAAAAAACAACCAGCTCAATGTCATTATGTAGGTTCTGTATTCTCTGTTATTGTGAAGATTTTAAATATTATAATCCATCCTTAATTTTTACTCCTTGTTTTTTTATAAATGGAGCCCAACTCTCCTTCAGTGTAAATTGTGTTAAATTCTCTTGTAATATAGAAGTTTATGTGAAAAAGGAATTTGTAGGATAACATTCACATTGTTGTATTTGTACTCCTATACATATTCATGTGTGTGAAATAAAGAGACTATTGCAAAAAATAATAAAGTGCTCTGAAAGAAAAATTATAAGAATCATTTTACAATTACCCATCTGGCTCCAGTAGATCTGTTATTTCTCTTCAGGTGATGAATGGATTGCCTATCAACCAGACAAGCCGGGCCCCCCAAAAAAGGGACAAAGACAAAACTCAGCAGAAAGTAAAATTTGTTTGGGGAATGGCCGAACCGATTGGAGCAGATTTTTTTTTTTTTTAATCTGGTTTATGGAGAGCTTTTCTTTTATAGATTCGGATGAGTGTTTTATAGTAGGAATCCTAGACGCACCACCCTGACGAGCACGGCGGAAGTCTCCCGCGTGGATTGGAAAGAAAGGAAATGGGGCTGGGGGATATCGAATTAACTCCCTTTATTTGGAACCTCGGAGCGTGCGCCCTTCATCCTTCTCCCAAGACTGGTATATAAGGGCTGTCCCCAGCCCTCCCCTGTCACTGCACGGCTGTTGTTCGTGACGCTTTTGTCCATCGCCCCGGCACAAGAGGAAACCTCGCAATGCCACTCTCCGCCAAGATGGTTTCGTTGATGCTGCTACTCTTGGTGCTGTCTGCCTCACTTGCCGCTTCCAACCAGGTAGGTCAGTGTCAGCGCGTTAGACCCTTTCGGAGGAGGGCAAAAAGCCTGCAACTGTCATTCTAGATTCTATTTAATGAATACCTTACTCTGCCACGTGTTGTAACAAAACCATTCTCAATGGTAATCCCCCCCCCCCACACACACACACTTTCTTTACGAAGTTAGCTATAAGTAGTAGAAGTGTACATAACTTTCAGGCACGAATGTGACCGAAAATGTGAATGTGTCCCCCACGTGCAATGAACCGCCGCAAGGGAACGTTGGGCCAGGTTGAGTGTGAAATTTTGTTGTCCGAAGCCTCCGCGAAGCTCCGTACTTTGGGGACTTGGGCGCTCTGGGGGGGCCGCATTCCTTACTCAGCTGCTTGGCGGGTTGGCCTACCCTGCGCGTAGCAGGCGCTATTAGGGTCGCCTCCTGGAGCTAAGTTTGTTGTTGGATTGTGGGGACACACCTTGACCTACCAGATCCACTGAGTTGCCAACTTTCTTGCATACCTAAGAGTTCCAGTGTTTGGGTATATAGTAATTCTTCTATTATTGATGGACAGGTGCACATATGCGTAGAGAACTGTGCTCAATGCAAGAGGATGCTCGGGGATTACTTCCACGGCCAGCTCTGCGCCGAGACCTGCGTGGAACTTGGAGGAGCCTCCATCCCGGATTGTCAGGACGTGGACAGCATTCGGCCTTTCCTCGTCAAGGCGGACCTCGTGTAGTTCGGGGCACCAAAAGACGTGATGTTGACGCATATCTCAAACTACTGTAATCAGTGCTTTATAACAGCACATTCACATCATGTCAAAACAAAACTCCTAACAAAAAAAAAAAAAAGAACCTTATGCAGCAATGTGAAATCTGAAGCATTGTACGAAATCATCTCAGTATGCAGATAAATAAATGCGAGAATAAGAAAAAACTTTCTTGTCAACATTGTAGTTCATTTTTACTTTCCCTTTCATTATTCATGCATGAGGTAATAAAAAAAATGAGTACTCTTTTTGTGTTTGGCTTAATTTACAAACTTCTTTTATCATTAAATATACAAGCCGCACCAAAATAGTTTGTCTCGGCATCACTTGTTTGTGGTTTCACAGATAGGACGAATCGAGGGACGAATACATGAGGAGTCAAAGAAAACATTTATGTTGCTTCTGACACAGTATATTGCTTCCACTAATTCAGAGGTACAAAACATGATTAGATTCATTTAGATTCAATACAACAGATAAAGAGTTGACTTCATAAATACTGATGACAGTAACTTACAGGCAAAAAAAAAAGTCGAGTTTTAAAAACTAATCAATCATTATTTAGAAAAAAATAATTTGTATGTAATTCATTGTAATTGATTCTTTGATAGCAAGGAACTTTAAAAAAAAAGTAAAAGTTGAGAAATTTGGTTACAGACAAAATGCTAACTTATATTACATAATTATACATAGAGCAAGAATGGAAGTTGCAGGTCTATACCATAATTAAAACTAAGAAATAAATCACTACCTCCAATTCATGAATGCTAAGTATAACTCATTTAAACAATGCCTTAACAATTGAGACTTCAATATGAAGACTCAAGGGTCTCTCTCTAGTTGTACAACTTTTACACAAAACTCCAGACGCTCATACACCATTACTCGGCCTTCGCAGCACCCTCGGGCGCAGACTCAGGATTGGCGGCGCCTTCTGCTGGTGGAGCCGCAGCAGCATGGGGTACTTCACTTGGCCTCTCTTCTGTAAGTGTGTGTCATGATATTAAAAATTGGTGAAAACGAGCTGTAGTTACAAACAAGAGGAGGTGAGGATATACCTGGGGATGCTGATTTAGCCTCCTCGGGCACTGACGGGGCTGTCGGTGGCACGACAGAGCCGACGGCCGGTGAGTCTTGCGTTGGAATGGCAGCCTCTGACCCAGGTCCTTGCACAGGTCCAGGACCTGGGTGAGCGTATGGAGATGGAGGCATCATACCAGCTTCCATTCCCTGAAATAAAAAATAAATAAAATGATGTTGAGAGTCTACTTGCAGACATAATGGTAAACAGTAGAAAACTAACTACATTAGTTCATCAATAAAATTACTACAGAGTGCAATGCAATAATAATAATACATTAAAGATACGAGGCTTTTAGAACAGGTTTGTCAATTTTGACATAGTACAACCCTACCCAACCTAGTTTCTGTATCCTACTTTGTGTATCCCTTTGTACTGGCTTTAAGTAAGTGATTAGTCTGTAAGTGCATGAACTTGATAAAAAAACAACAAAGAAATGTAGAATGAAAACTGCAATGCAGCAATCTCCGTATGAAGCTTGATTGGTCAACTCCGCTCAAAACACTTAATGGAGAGAAAACATTGTTTACTTTTGATGGGCCATGGGACGGGGGTGTGGAAGGGAATTAATTGGATGGAATCCACATGAAAGCTTTGCATTTAGCGTGAACCTTTGATGAGAAGAGCCACACAGTCCTCCACACACACAGAAAAGCCCATGAAAACATTCAGCTAAGCATATGAATAAGCCCGTCATAAAGCCTCCAAAACGCTGGCACTAATTTATTAAAAAAAATAAAAAAAATAATTTAAAAACGGATGGAAATAATAAACTGGCTCAAATAAAGTCAGTGGTTTCATCAAAAATATGTGTAAGAAAAACGTAGCGCACTACTAGATAAAACCATTTGTTTATCATTGAGGAATTACTTAAATTCTGTAATCTCCTATCTCACTGAACTAGACCCCAAAATAAAATCAGCTTAATAATTGTTTAGGTGCGCAATATAAACGACCAGAGCAAAATAAACTGAAGTAATGTGTTTTGTAACAAAGTTCAAATGGCTTTATCCTTTTACAAGCAAACATGTTAAAGCAATGGCAGATATGCGATACGTACCGGGTGCGCTCCATCCATGTGGGGGGCGTGAGGGTAGTGAGGTCTGCCAGGTGGGCCTGGCGGGCCCGGTGGGGCAGGCGGGCCGTGCGGAGGATACTGGGGGCCAGGCGGGCCGGGCGGGTAACTTTGGTGATAGTATGGATGAGGCGGATACTGAGGCGGGTACTGATGATAGCCTTGCTGCGGTGGGTAGCCGGCCGTCGGCGGGTATGCATGAACGGGAGGTCTGGCTGGCGGAGCCCCGGGGTAGGGGCCGTACGGCTGAGGAGGGTACCCCGCCGGAGGAACCTGGGGTGGTAGCATGCCGTGGCCTGGGGGATAGGCAGGGTGATGCGGGTGATGCGGGTAAGGAGCCATGGGGGGCATCATGGGTGGTACGGCGGCAGCTGCAGGCTGCACAGCTGGGGGAGCAGCTGGGGGAGCGGCCAGGGGCGCAGCTGCGGCCGGAGTCGGTGTCGGTGCGGAGGCCGGAGCGGCCGCGGGTGGTGGAGAGGTGTGTTCAGTGCTGGGGGTGGTTGGGGGCGCCGCAGCCGGCGGGGCGCCGTTCACCTGGACTGGCGGTGCAGGTGCGGGAGCTACTGGCGCAGCTGCAGCAGCTGGGGTGGACGGCGCCTCCTCTTGGGTGACAGTCGGACCATCTGCCGGTGTGGCTGGCGCCGGTGCGACTCCATCGGCAGAAGCGCTGTCTGGAGACAGGGCCGGTGTCGCAGGTGGTGTGCCAGATGCAGCCGGAGTCTCTGAGGAGGGAGCGTCCTCCGTCTTGACGGCGACCTCGTCTGGCCTCTCCTCCTTCACCACAGCATCTTCAACAGGTGGGGCCTCGTCACTCGGTGCTGGGGTTGCCACCGCTGGTTGTAAGATTGGCGCAGACTCTGTTCCCGGGCTGGGTTCGGATTTGATCTCTGTCGAGGCTGTGGACTCAGCATCACCCACTGAGGATACGGCGGGAACGAGGACAGGGGCGGGACTGGGGACAGAACCACTCTCACTCGTGGGCGTTGGAGGTTCGCTAGCTTGTACAGGTTCTGTCTTTGATGGAGCTGGAGGGTCTTGCTCCATAGGCTGAAAGTAAAAGCAAAATAGCTGGCATTAGGAACACATAGGATGAAAAACACTATGCACAAGGTTTTGTAACATAAATGAGGCTAACTGAGAACATGCACTTTAGGAATAAGGAAGTGGAAATCTAGTTAAATGGAAAAATTTGTGCAAAATAAATATTTCTGTACAAGATGTCGTATATGCTCCTAAACGACAAATGCTCACAATACAACTAAAGCTAAACATTCCAGTTCAAAGAGGAAATAAATTATGTGACATAGGAAATACATTAACAGCTCTGTCTTTAATTAGAGCAATAATTAAAACCTACAGAATTTGCATTGAGCGGTTCCCACTCAGTGTATTAGATGTCAATATACCAAAGTAGATAGTATTAACTTGAGAAGCAATTTCATGTCTACATTTATAATCTCACGAACAAGTGCAATAAGCATTCGTTACCTGAATTGAATGCAGAGTGAGCATCTAGTGCCGCATAGAAAAAATCACACACAAACATTCAGCACAACACACACACACAGTGCAACACTTGGAAGAGATTAACCATACAGATACAAATTTATTTACAAGATGTTGGAATAGATTTAGATATATTGGTTTGTTGAATATATTTCACTCAATGGCACACACAGGAATAACAAATTCAATTTAAACACAAACAGGTTCATGCATAAGACTAAGAACTTACCTCTTGTTGAGATTGGCTGTCTTCAGAACTCTGCACAACAGGTTCAACTGTGTTCTGAGTCTGTCCATCCCTACTGTCTTCGCCATTCTCTCCGGGTACTCTGTCATTTGTGCTGGGTTCAGCGTTGGATGCTGCTGGTCCGTTCGGGGCTTTAGGGGGTTCCTCGGGTTTTGTTCTTTCCTTGCGGAGTAGATCAAGCTGCTTATCTATCATGCGGTTGAAAGTTTCCTCATCCACAGCTCTTTGGCAATGCTGGCAAAAGACAAGGATGATTAGCTGGTAACATCACTAAATCAATGAAAAACATGATCATAGTAATAAAAAACTGTAGACTATACCTTTTTTAGTTCTTCTTGAAATACCTCACTACTTTCAATAAACTTCCTCTTCTTTGATTCAAACTTCTCTTCAATTTGTTGTAATTCTGCCTCAAGCTTTTTCTGCAAATAGGAACATTAGAATCAACACATACTGTAACAATAAATCTTTAGGGTACTTTATAATGAGCTAAAACATACCTGATGCATAGAAAGAGAGACAACTTGTCTTTTGAGAACCTGCATGCGAGTAGTAGTTACTACAGATCTCACATCAGGCACAACTGAGTCTGAGAATATTTCGTTTATGAGACGATGGTTTCGTAAGTACCGGGCAAAAGCAACATGCTTTACAGAATACCCATCATCCTGATCTATAAAGTAAATTATTATGATACATTAGAAGTAACCAAAGCTTTAGGTGATAAAAAAATTTAGGAACTTAAGACGCTAACGATTAGATACTAGTGTCAGAACTTACCATCTTCATCTTCAGCAGGCTGAATGTCGATGCGCCGATCTTGTTTGCTACTGCTCATGCTACTTGAGCGATCACTATCTCGGTCAACATCGACAGGCGCTTAGTAAAATGAAGTTTCCAATTAAAAGGGTGCAAAGACAGGTTTCAAGATAATACCAGTTCAAATCAATTCAGCAAAAAAATTCAGCACACACAAAAAAAGTATGGACAGCATACCAGGTTTCCCTCGAGATTTAGCAGTAAGGTAAGCCAGATAGGCTGGTGAATTGTGATATGCTTTCATGCATTTCTCGTAGTCCAACTGTAAAGAAACAGAAGGCACAACCCCACAATAAGCCAGATGCAAACATACACAACATAAAAAGCAACAAGTCAACGCTCAATAAGAAAGTCCCTAGATTTGTGTAGGGGAAGCATTTCATGTACCAAAATTTGATAAATTTATTTTAATTGGATGACTTCAAAAATTGCCTAAACACTTTATAACAATAAGAGAAGGTACCTCTATTTCCATCAAAAGTGAGAGAAGACAGGACCTTAAGCCGTCTCAGGACAAAAACAAACTGAAAATAAATTTAGTATCTACAAACTTATTAGCTGGGTAACTATGTAATTTATTTACAGAGGGTGCAGAATGGTGGCCTGTGTACCCATAGCTAACATAAAATCATGATACAATGAAGACTCGGAAAAAGACAGCCTCTATCGTCTAGTTAGTGTGCACTATTGTTATTACAAAAATGAACAAATATGTGTAGTATTAAGAAAATTAAGACAAACTAAGTTAGTTTTAAAGTGATGATAAAAAGTAGAATATTCTGGGTATTTTGTCAAAAATTTACGGTTGCAATAGAACGCATCAATTGGACACTACTACATGGAAAAGAGCTAGACTTATTGAAAATTGTATTTAGTACATGTAGTACATGTGACACATATGAGTATAGGTAGTACAACATTTTAAAATGTGATGCAGTCACAGGAAAAAAAAGGACTTCCACTGACGCACAAACACACACATACACAGACACACACACTTGGCAAAAAAATAAATATTGGAGATGAACTATGAGTCCAATAACTTAATACCCTTTTCTAGCCTGTGTTTTTACAACTTCTCCCCAAAGCTACATAGTAAGATGCCTTCTCACCTCACATACTATAAGCAACATAAAGAGACAACACAATTTTAACACAACAGAATTAAATGAGACAGGCTTCTCCTATTACTCTCACCCCTACCTTTTGCCTTGGAAGCCATCCAATTTAAGTATGCACTTGAGTTTTGGTACTGCTTCAATACTTCCATATACTGAACCTAGAGCCATATAACAAGGTTCAGCTAAGTCTGACAAAAAATCCATGTCTCTATCAAAACGATTTCCATGCTTCTAACAATGAAGAAAGATTGCACTTGAGGAATTCGAAGTGATACAAAATGGATTGCATGTCAGAATTGAACAAACAGTACTGTACTCACCTTTTCTGCTTCATATTCCTCAATGTATTCTGCCTTATTTGCATCTGGAAGGTCACGCCACATCTGACCAATAATTTTTCCTATTTCCCATAGTTTATGGTCAGGATTGGCAGCTTTCACAGAATCCCAGACCTTTCGGCTATACCTCATATAGGGCATGAGGGGTTTTTCTGGAGGCTTAGGCGCCTTTGGCATCCGACTGTCTCCCTGAAGAGAAGAAAATTTATAACAATAAGACAGGTTACTGTAGAAAGGCAACAGGCCTCACAAAAATCAAATAAATAAATCTTTACAATTAATCATGCATAGTGAACAAATCATGAAGTAATGAGAACTTTGTTTAGAAAACATTAATTCAAAAGTTCTAAGTAAATCCCAACAATACTTTGGAGATGTGTTATATGTTTCATTATACATGCAAGGGAGCAAAACAAAATATAACAAACAGATTAATTAAGGATCATTAACCTCCCACCATCCACATACAAACAAGAGGAAGTAGGTTTCAAGTAAGAAAAGAGCCTGAACCCTTTATTTGTGTGTAGCCATGAGCTGGTTTACAAGAAGGGAGTATGATGCAACTTCAGAGTAAAATACAGAATACACCCGAGGAGACCCAGACCCCATAAAAGTGACTTTCATTGGAATTTACAATTTAGATACAAATTTTGTTGGTTTCCTGCAAAGTGCTTAAGTGTATCTGGGTTGCATAACTCAAAGATATTTACCAATGCAGTCCAACCTCCACCCTGTCAATAAAGAAGCAAACAACCAATCAACAAAACAAAATAAAACACATGCAAAGAATAATCCAGATGTACCCAACAGAAATTGTTGTAAATTGAGTGTTTGGGTTTAAGTCCAATTATTAAACCAAAATAGATACAGCAGGCAATAAGAAAACCAAAGTGAATATCTCTAGTCTACTGGTTAGCACTGTGGCTCCATGAACTGCATGCAACTTGTGCTAGACTGAGACAGCACATTCCTTCTAAATCTGAGTATTTATGCCAATTACCAGCTGTACATAATCTACTCAAGTACCGGTAATTGATTATAGGTATCCAGTTGCATATAAAATTGAACAAAAAATTACATGCAAAGTGAGATGAGAGAAGAATTATCTAACCGTATCACAATAACACTGAACTCCAAAGCTTTGACAAGCTTCTGCCTACAAGTATTACAATAAGAACACTAATTCAAATTAATGGGAGGGGATAAAGAACAACACATTTCTGTTTAGTAGGTAGATAATAAATAAGATGAGGCTACGTACCCAAGGAACAAAACTAAGAACATCCAAAAAGTGGCATGCTGAATTATTAACCCTTACAACAAACCAAAAAGCAGGAAAAAGCAATAAAAAGTTTCATATTACTTACAGCTACGCCCACTTTAGTAACTTTCTGAGGGTTGAAGTTAGGGTGACCATGAGGAGACCGGATAAAAGGGTCCTGATGCATTCCACTGTCCTTCTGCATCTGCAATATGCAAAAAAATATTGTGAGAAAGAGTTTTCTTGATGGGCTAACGTAACTCACAAAATTACATACTGAGGAAAAACTTGTTATGGGAACATTTTCTGGGGTAGGGCAGAGTTGATAATATTTTCCAACATTATTTCGCAGGTAAGGGCCTTGATAGGAACTTTGGTAGGGGCCGTGATGGTGCCGTGGTAGGGGGCTTTGATAGGGGCCTTGGTAGGGGCCTTGGTAGGGGCCTTGGTAGGGGCCTTGGTAGGGGCCTTGGTAGGGGCCTTGGTAGGGGCCTTGGTAGGGGCCTTGGTGGGAGCCTTGGTGGGAGCCTTGGTGGGAGCCTTGGTGGGAGCCTTGGTGGGAGCCTTGGTGGGAGCCTTGGTGGGAGCCTTGGTGGGAGCTTTGGTGGGAGCTTTGGTAGGAGCTTTGGTAGGAGCTTTGGTAGGAGCCATGGTAGGAGCCATGGTAGGAGCCATGGTAAGGGACGTGGTAGTGGCCGAGGTAGGGGCCGTGGTAGGCGCCTTGGTAGGGGCCATGGTAGGGGCCGATAAGGAGGTAGGGTGATGATGCGAGGTCAGTTAGGATCTTGATAGGGTAGAATAACAGATGAACCGTAAGGATTGAGGACGACAGAGAGAGAGAGAGAGCGAGGATTTCAAAGGAAAGCTCACTTACCGAGCCGCCGAGCATGCCTCCTCCTGATGCTCTGAGACGTTCTGGAATGGAAATGTATTGGAAACCATTATACTACAAGAGCAAGTGAACTACAAAGTGAAAATGTAAATTTAAATGCTTGGATTTGACAGTTTTAATTAGATGCATTAG